TTTCTCTTTATATGACTGTTTTAATTGATGATTGACTGTGTATGAGTTTATCAGAAGTATCTCATGATTCATGATCCCATACTTTATGTCTGTGCTTGCATTCAAGCCCCTTNTCAACTCTCCTGTTGAGCTGTCCATTATCCTCCAATGCATCCACTAAGCTACCAATGTGCATCAAGGCCCCTTCAAGTTACCTTAGTTTTGTTGAGCTGCAGATACAAGCCTACATAACTTCTGTCTGCAACAGCAATGCTAATAGCAGATACAGTTATGTTGAAGTGTGCAATCAAAGTACCTTCATGAAATGTAGGAAATCTGAATTTTAAATTTTGGCAAGAACTTCAGCCACCTCAGACATGTTAAAAAAACTTGATCCAGTATGTATATTTTTCTTTCTTAAAAACCCCTTACTTTTCCTTTACTTGCCATCAATGCAATTATGTCAGAAGCATCCTCCAATTTAGTGTGTTAAAGCCTGTGTGTTGTGAAATTCACCATCATCATGCTTGTGCCAATCTTGAGTTCAAGGCCAATAACTGTCATGAATCATTCCACACCCATGCCCTCAATACATCCCCAAGACAGACCCCTCACTATGATACCTTGTTTCTCCATCCCTACTTTCTATTATCTCATTATCTTGTTATTCCTTGTTCCCATACCAGGGACCTATTAACTGACAAGTCTTTAGCTTCAGTCTTCTCAGTTGAAAATTTGACTTCCTACCATGCTCAGCTTCTTCCATAACAGTGTCTTTGTCATGTGTGATGCTCCCACTGCTGCTCTTGCTGGAAGACTTGCTGACAGAAGAACTAAATGCAGAATGAATGGTGTATGAGGCAGAATTGGCATGATCTATCTTTTCATGAGTAATTAAAAATATTGAGAAAAATGACTGCATACCCTCAGGTCCTCCAATAAGATGGCAGTTTGGGATTTTGAGGTTTGAAATATTCTGAGAGAGTGCATCCCAATTCCAACCTGAGTAAATGTCCAAATGGGCTGATTGGGTGTGCACCATGTGAATCCACTGCACAGCTTGTCATCCCATGTTCTGAAAATCAGTGAACCACACTTGAATGTTCTCTCCCAGCATGTGCCCATAGAGTGGGTTCATACA